TGTTAAAAACTCAAAAAATTGTCAGTTGAAAAAACTGAAGTTGGTGGACCAGAGAATTGATCAGATTGAAAGCAGTTTGTCATATCCAACAGTGTTTTTAGCTGGTGCTATATTAGTGCTATTTTTGGCATTTGTCGCTTGGAAAAAGTATGTGAAGTTTTTACTGACAAAGGGTTATAATAAACTGCAGCATCAGAAGTGATCAAGATAAAGTATCTCCTTTGGAGAAACTTATCTTCAACAAAAAAAAAAAATTTCAAATATTTTTTTTATGCCTTACTCTGAAAATAATATTTTTTGTAATACATGCATGAAATATTTGCAGACTTAGAAGGAATAATTCAATAAACTTTGTTCGTATTGATTAATGACAGAAAAATGTTTGCAGTAGTTATTTATTTATCCTTTTTTGGCATATATAAGAACTGCTGAATTTTTGAATAGTTTCTGAAAGTTTTTCTTCTGTCAGTCATGTAACAATTTTTTTTCAATGCTTCTCAAATGCTCTGCTGTAATAACATTCAATTGTAATTAAATGGCAACAATTACTGTTATAGCTAAGGTTTTTCAGTAAAATACTGGAAAACGGAGAAGGCTATAGAAGCTGTACAATTGACTTTTAAATGTATCATTTTAATAAACGTTTATGTTAACCATAATAATGTTGTCTCATTTTATTGTTGTATTTTTACCCACTTTTTATTTTAAAAACTGTGTACAGTGTTAATAGTTTGGTATGGAAATTGCAATTGTACTTGCTGGAGCTCATCACAAGCCAAAACTTTGAAAAATACCAAAAGCTTTTGACAATCGAAAACAAGAATACAATTTTAAAGACAAGAAAAATGCGACCAAAAAAGACGAAAACAGTTACAGTTTTTTAATAAATTTTACCAACTAAAAAATCAAAAAAAAAAAAAAATGAAAAAGATTGATAAAACAAAAAGTTTAAAAGTTGCAACTGAGTTGTACAAAAAAAAAAAATTTCTTTTGTTAACAGTTAATACTCAAATCTTTATGAGATTAAATAATGATTTCCTCTTCAGTTCTGCATTGGCCTTTGCTGTTCACTGTGGGTGTAACACTTTGTTTCTTTCTTAATATAAACGAACATTTATAAAACCGATAAATTTTCCAATTACTGTTGTTGCAAAAACTGTATGAATAACTTTAGTGCTAA